CATCGTTAGTCTTGGACTCAGTCTTTACACAACTTGATGACTAGTCAAATAATGTTCCTTCCACCTATGAGGAGGAATGATCATGCGATTATCTTATTCAAGTTCATGGGCTCTAATCTCCATCAAGCAGTTGAGCAGGCGGTTCTAACTTATGAAACGCAGATGTGAAGGAGACCAACTCCCCAGCCCCGATCAAAAAATGATAAACTGACTCCAACACATCAGTAAGAGGAGCATGGACTAATTTTCGGCAGTTATACAATCAAGGTACTTGATAAACCGAGATATTTGACGTTGGGTAAGACAAAAATATTGGAACGTTGCCATCAGCCTTGAGACGTCAGATACGATGGGACGCTACAGGTCGGTCGGAAATAAGTGTTTAAGCACAGTCTGGGCAGCTCAGCAAAAATACGGAAAGCAGTTGGCTCAATCTGTAATCGATCTGCCGAAGAGACTGTTCTTGTACATAATTTACAGAACAAGAACTTACCATTGGATTCCAAACCTCATTACAGGAGTGCATCATGAATGACGGAGGAAGACCAAGAAAAAACAGGAGGAATGATGAACAATTTGGGGACATTTTTCATTCAGGAGCCCATTCTAGACGATTGACTAGACCCAAATACAAAGTCACAAAATTAGCTGTTCACTGTGAATTTGGATCAAGACGACGTACCAAACACCTTTGGTATTTAAACACGGAAAAATCAATGGGACTGGATGAACTACACCTTAAAAATTTTACTTATGGACTGGAAAGATTTTATTACCACTCCAATTCATAAGACAGGACTAAGACAACTCCCATCAAGCCACAGACCTGTCAGCTTCACTAGATTCGTAGTAAAGTACTGGTAGAAATAATAAAAGAGGCTATAATTACATTCATGGAAACTAAGAATTTGTCAAACAGTGAACAACATGGGTTTAGGAAGGGATTAGTTTGCTCAATAAGCCTTATAACATGAGAAATGGACGGAGGTTCCAGGTAATGGAAAATCACTGGATTCCGCCTACGTAGACTTCCGCGAAGTGTATGATCAGATTCAGAATAATAGACTCCCCCTAAAGCTAGAGAATCTAGGAATTGCTGGACCTATCCCAAAGTCAAACAAGGGTTTCGTAGCAGATTGTAGGCAGGAAGTAAGAATAAATTCAAAATTCTCCCCCTGGGAACCGGTACTTAGTAGAGTACGTCAAGACTCTGTCCTAGGTGATCTACTTTTTATGCTGCATGTAAATGATCTCTCAAGCGTAGTTAAGTCTCCAGTGCTGCTTTATGATGGTGATTTAGGAATTTGGCGAGAATCGTCAGAAAATCTAACTTTCCTACTCATTGGGATATTGCAAATACACTAATTTATTTATTGCTCTGTTTTCATGATATTTCGAATCGCACATACGAACATGTTATTTTATCGTTCAGTCAGTCGCGTCATGAATGCATGTTAAATTTTGGTACGCTTACTGATTTACTCAATCACTTGCTAACATTCTCACTTTTATTCATGTCTTGACGATATGAATGCACCTTTTTACATAAGGATAACACTTTCGTATAATGTATTCACCCTTCACGTGATACTGTGATCTTTGGTGTATAGTACAACTGTTTTCGCTACGTATTGTTAGCGTTAATCACATACCTCTTCAGTGTTATTTCCAAAAGCAGACACTTTTTTAGAAATTAATGTATTATTAATTTGATTTTGTTTATGAATGCACACACGCTCCTTCGCCCTCATTTATTTTGCATACGTGTTTCTTCCGGACATTCTGAGGGGGGATCTACGTGAGGAATAGTGCTATGTTAACCCTACATAGTTTATTCTAACTTCCAAACAAACCAATCTATTCATTCTTCTTAAACCACATTTTGACCTTGTCACTTATTGGCTTATTTATTCTGATTGTTTCTAGATGAGCGTATGTGTGTGCACATCTTATCCTACTCATCATATGTCTGTAGATTATTTTTATCTGGTTATAAATATTGATTAAACGGAGTTGGCCTGCTTGCCTTCTCCAATATGCTTCACTTTTCCGTGTTTCGTTTCCTTGATTGCCTTTTCAAATCACTGAATGAATGAAATATACATATTCAAAATCCATTCTCGTATTCGGTTTATTTAATTATTGTCAGAATGAGGGTTTGTGAAAATTTTGGTGATATTAATGGTTGAATTTATGAGTCGATTTAAGCTACACAAAGTGGTAAGCTTAAGTAATACATATGAAATAGCCGGGGATCTACAAACCAGTTGAATTCAAACTGGGCTTGTGTGAACATTTGAAATAGGCTAACAAATTATTACTAACCTGAAATGGGCTAGAACTTCGACAGGACGAAATCACGAAGTCAAATTTGAAATAGAATTGACTTGTATTCTATCAGTGTAACATTAAAAAATGTAACACAAAACATTTGATTGTACAGTAACTCTACTGGATATTCACCAGAGATATATATGTAATTATGTTATACGAACGAGCTAGCAACGATTTGAATGAAAAGGTAAGTGCTTAATCGAAAATGCAAGTCTTTTCTATATGGATAATTGTTCTCTGTACTTATGAGAAATAAAGACGACCTGTTTAAATAGCTAGTGAATATCACCTTCGAACAGCAAGGTCTGTCAATTTGATTGATTACTAAACTACATTGGCCAATAATAACCTTATCTACACGGCTTCAATCTCATTACTTTCCTCGCCCAAAACAATTCCTTTTTCCGAGGATACCAACTTAGTCAGAACCGGGGAATAAAGATGTAGTTAGCACGACTGAGGCAACTAATCTAAGACCAAACGTTAAATGCTCATTGATTGCGAAAAGCTCAGAGTTAATATTGGTAGGCTTTTGGCAGCATAAAACAAATGGTAACCCACAACGGAAAAGCGTTGTGCTTGCTGGCACAGGAGTTTATCTAGCATAACATCTTTGTGAGGACGGAATCTAGAACTGTAACCTAAGAGGATATGACAAGTTGTACTGGTATTACTTGTTAAAAAGAAGAGATTTAGGTTCATAACAATTGGAATACAGTGTACGGAAAGAGGTAGGTTTCTAACTAGTTTACAACACTCATCGTTTAAAAATTAGCACAGAGCATTAACAGAAGACAGCAGACAGGAAAGCTGACACCAGTAAACCTATGAATTAACAGTAGACAATAAATACTCCAATACTTGGCGAGGTTAATTTAAACTAGAGCCGAATAAAACAATTAAAAGAGCGTAAATTGTACAAGGACTAAGTTGAATTACTGCGTCAGTAGTCCTTAATTACTCCGACGTAAAGAAATGTTCAGATTTTATCGACTGGTCATATAACATTACACAGTAAATTTCCTGATACTGTTAGATGAATGGAGAAGTCACACAACTGATCTCAGACGGTAAAAAAATATGAAAGGTGCAACAAAGACAAACGACCAGTTTTGGAAACTTATACTTATTTTTTAATTTAATCTGTATTGGTTTGGGTTATCCCGTTGTTGATATATTGACTAGTTTTAGTTGGCGCATGTTCATTCCATGAGGATCACACCCACATAGACACTGCTACAAGTTTACGTAGATCAGACAAAATTCAGCTTACAGTTGGATCCAGGATGCGTTTTCATTCTATTCGGGACTGATCAGCTGGGTGTATCTGTACCTTAGAGGTGGTGTTCACCTTGAGATTCAAATGAATTGCCTTTCATTTCGAACGCCAACGCGTTATTCACCAAGTCCCTAGTAGTCCTTAATTTGAATCCAGTTAGATTGCATGCTGATGTTTATTGAAACATGCTTATCACCAAACCTCGTATATAATCATCGACTTAAATCGCGTTGGTGAAGAACGGAATTAAATAAGTCAAATACGAAAATGGATTTTTGAATATGTATATTTCGAACAAGCGTTGACTGGAAAGCAAGATAAAACAAAGTGACGTGCAGTAAAGGCAAGTGGGCCAACCCGATTTAATCAAGCTTTAATCAATATTTATAACCAGATAAAAATAATCTACAGACATATGATGAGTAGGATAAGATGTGCACACACATACGCTCATCTAGAAACAATCAGAATAAATAAGCCAATAAGTGACAAGGTCAAAATGTGGTTTAAGAAGAATGAATAGATTGGTTTGTTTGGAAGTTAGAATAAACTATGTAGGGTTAACATAGCAACTGACAGTACAATTTCATATGATCACTCACTTGTCAAATGTCAATGACAGAATAATCCAAACTACTACAAATCGAAAAATCTATACCATCTTCACATGCGTCTATCTGGATGGAATAGTTAAGTTGACGCGTTGGCTTTCGAAACAAAAGGCACTGGGTCCGAAAACCGAGGTGGACATTAACTCTAGGGTACAGGTACACCCACCTGAAGAGTCCCAAACAGGAAAAAGCACATCCTGGATCCTACTGTTAGCCACATTTTATTTATTCCACATAGACCCCATACTCATACCAGTTGTGTGAATAAAAGAATAAATTTAGTTTACTACTGATATGAAGCTTCCTGACTTACTTAAATATGTATTGTTTCAATCTTCAAATCCTAAACTTATTCGATATTGACTGTAATGAAGTCTTTTGATTGCTGTATCACCTTATATATATTATATTTTAAAATAAGTGCACCTGTGAGAACGAATATTCTTTAAACGGAAAATTATATAATAGTCTTTTTATATCTATAGAGCTAAAAATCACTTCATTTGAAAGAGCAATCACTGAGGACTGATCCTAACGTAAGAAAATTAAGATTAATAAATTGAAAGAATAATGGGAATAAAGTTATACATATAATTCATTAATCAAGTTGTTTCAGAAATACTTTGAACACACGCAAGGACACTGTTAATAAGCTCAATTGGAAAGTGGTAAAATTCAACTTAAACATTCATTGTTACATATGTTGCTGAAATTTGTGATCGTGTAGTTTCAGTATGAACCGAATACTAAAATGTTACCGATATATATATATATATATATATATATATATATATATATATAAACAGATACTGATAGAGGACAAAGAATACAACATTGTTGGGATGAGATAATAATTTTTACAAATGTACAGTAATTTACAGTGGGCGATTCGAATGTATCATTTAGGAAAACTATATGCAGAATATATAAATAAATTTATCTATCATCCGAAGTAAATCTTCTTTTTTTCCTACTCAAATACCGCTCTTTTTGCCGTTTGCTCATTTGTGCCAGACGTTCATTTTGAACGAGTTTACGGAGTTCCGCTGATAAATTTGGAAAATTAGTTTAAAAGTTATGTTAATAGTATAAGTAAGCTCTGACATAAAAAAAATACTTGTTGAACTGATCTAAAGTCTAACAAAAAGAACGCGGTTTTAGGACAACGAAACGAACTATAACTATTTCTCAAAGATAGTTTGTATTACGAAGAACATATACATATTAGGAAGCATTTAATGACCGTTATTTTATAGTTTGTGATTCCCGAACGGAATTCAACCAAGGGTGCTAACCTCCCGCTGTGAACACGATACCATTCTCCTATCAAATACAAGTGTCTCTACTCCATATATTCAATTGATTTAAGTCGATAATCACTTTGTGCTTGCGACCGGAAGTAATGAAAATTTGTATCGAAAAGATAAATCAACCAAAAATCTACGAAAGACTGTCAGAATCAGTAACTTATATCCTCATAAACTGTTCCAAGAATTACGTGATTGTTATACTGATTGACAAGTTATAAATAAGGAAGTCAAATAATAACTTTGACGAAATTCGAAGTGGCTAGGGGTTATATGTTCATGTCAATGAGCCTTACATTTGTAAAATAAAAATAATTTCAGAAAATAATGATAGATTAAAGCGAGACTGATCTGATATTTACCGCGGCAGATAGTGATTATCGGTAAGCACTAATGAAATTTTTCCATAATTGCAACATAACTGTTTCATAGCGAAACTGATTGCAATACTCCGTAAGTGGTGCTGAAAATTCCTTACTGTAAAAATATTTGTAGTAATGAATAAAATGACTGTTACCGCTATATATTGGTGGGTAATATTTAGAACTTTACTTTTAGTTCTTTTCGGTATCTATACTAATACTAATGTAACCCGGCAATTATATGAAATGGTCACAGTGACTAACCACGTCACTCCCTATTAATAGGCTAGACGTTGGTGTAGACCAATAACTAAGGCACTATTTTATTATTTCGGAAGTGAGAAACGGATATCAAATATTCTTATAGTATTAATACATATATTAATGAAACCGTATTTTGCCAATATGAGCACTGAAAAAAAGTTGCCTGTATATCCCAGAAGAATTAGAGAACACTCAAGTAGGAAACTAATAATGATCAACTGAAGGAAGAAACTGTTACCTTTGAAAAGGTAAATATGACAAAGTTGGATAAGAATCTAGAAAATAAACGTCGATATGGAAGACCGCTTTACGCACACACGGGGATCATAGTTAATAGTATTAAGTGATAAGTGACGAGTCATCGCTCAAATAGGAAAACAAGTGCAGGTGGTGGAACTGCTGAAAACAGAAGTGTTGATGTGAAGAGCATACCCATTTAACAGATGAAAATTAATTTGCAATACTCTGAATACGAGTCGAACAGAATAACTAAGATATGTGTTCAGTATTTTCAGCTAAATGATAATTAGTACTGCTCAACTAAACAAAAGATAAAAGATTTACAGATGTTGGGCTAGAAGTTACTACGTCATACTGTATGTTTTAAATCCAGGTTTAAAGTATCATGAAGTGAAAACAAAGCATTCAGAAAACCGATAAAACGATTAGTTTGATTCAGGTTTTACAAAACATCTGCAAAAGCATCTCATTATGACTTGATTGATTGGTTAGAGGTGTCTATTTCCAAAGACATCATTCATTTTGCTCTTAAACGTATTCTCAACGTTCTTATTCAGTTTACTACACGTTCTACTAGACATATTACACAAACTCCTTTAACAAATTATTTGCATTTATTCATTTTTAGGTATAAAAACTTTAGTAAATACACATTTATAGCTTTTAGAAAACCCAAATGTGACGAAAGAGTTACGTCAAAAGAAAAGAATATCTGAAAATTATGCCCAGTTATTTTAGGCTCTTGAAAAAGTAACATACGTGTACTTACCTCGAGGAATAAAACGAACAGATCTCCCTGATTCCAAGTTTTCAATTTGTTCCTTCTGCAGTTTATCCATGAATTGCTTACGGAATTTTCTATCTTTTGCTGTGGCTATTCGCTGTCTTACCAAATGTAACGCATCCGTCACTTCCTTACGTTTGTTCGGGTCTAAATTCTGACGCAGCATCTTTTTTAGTTTCTGGTTTGGAAGTATATATTCACATAGCAGAAAGCAGAGAAACATTTTAATAGGAACATTTACGACAATATGCAGATAACTAGTTACTAACCTGATAAAAAATATCCCAAATTTGAAATATACAGTAGGTTTTGAATTCATTACAATGCTTTACAGTCACAGTAAACTACATTGAATAGCCAGTTGATTGCGGTAGAAGATATAAGTTGCTATGGTTGGGTGAGAGTGATATTATTTATTTGAACACATAAATATTAGTACAAGGGGGGCACTAAATATATATGCGCCACACAAAACAATGAGAATTCGAAGAGAAAAAAAGAAGGTAAGGAGTGTTAAAAATGAACAATAACGAACAGATTAGTGTAAGGTAGTGTAATAATAATAATAATAATAATGGGGGAAACGAAAAGGTACAATCAGAAGAAACCCTTCAGTTAAGGAAGATACAACCATTTTTTATGAAGAAAGTAAAAGAAGGTTACAGCACGATCGCCACTGGCTTCTATTCTGAACCATATCTGATAACGTCTCTAGCCACTGTGTTGCACCATCTCTCGGACCCCAACCAGGGAGTCGTGAAGGATCAACACAAGCCAGCCCTTTGCAGCTTTCTTTCATGCCACGACACCATGTCATACACTGACCACCTCTCCGCTTCTTCCAACCAGTCCCAGAGTCGGCAAATAATGCACGACGTGGAATTCTCTGGGAGGACATTCGTAGCACATTTCCAAGCCACCGAAGTCGGTGTTTCAAGATGGTGACACCAATTGCATTATCGACTCTGTGCCCGAACACACGATGCCGAACCTCTGCATTACTGACATGGTGTTGCCACTGGATGTCAGCAATCCTTCGGAGACAACGATGATCGAGCACAGAGAGTCATCTAACATCCTCAACTCGGAGAGGCCAGGTTTCACAAGCATAGAGCAGAACTGCTCCCACCGACGCGTTGTAGATCCGACCTTTTACAGCCAGACTGACATCACGAAGGCACCAAAGATGGCCCAGATTGGCATAAGTCACTTTGGCTTTCACTATACGTGCATTGATCTCATCACTTCGAAGGTGCAAAGCACATACCATACCTAAGGACACTGATTGCCAACTGATTAAGTGCGGATTGCATGGCTTGGGCATTATCGCACAGTAAGACAATATCATCCGCATACTCAAGGTCGAGAAGTCTTTCTCCAGGCAACAGATCCACACAACCATTACTTACATCCATCAGAGCTGTTTCCAGAATGTCATCGATGGCAAAGTTGAAGAGGAATGGTAAGATTGGGCAACCCTGCCTAACCCCACTGCTCGAATGGAACAATGGAGAGAGGTGGTTGTATGCCCTCACTCTGCCTGAGGTGTTTGTATATAGGGACTTTAGGATGTTAATAAACTTCTCAGACACACCCTTCTTCAACAGACAATCCCAGAGAACAGTCCTGTCCAACAAATCGAAGACAGCCCTGATGACAAGAAACACTACGATTGTTGGCCTTTGATAAGTATGGAGGTGTTCTAACATTTGGCGGAGGGTGAAGATATAGTCAGTACATCCTCGACCGGAACGAAACCCAGCCTGCTCCTCGCGAGTCAATCATTCTCGGGTTTTGAACAACCTACGAAGTATGACGGAAGCCAATAGCTTGGACACAATCGGAAGTAGACTTATCCCCCGATAGTTGTTACAGGAACGACGTGAACCCTTTTTAAAGATAGAGACAACTATCGACTCATTCCATGACGTTGGTACACTCTCTAGTTCCCAAACCTTGGTAAACAACGTCGTCAATTCCTTAGTCAGAAAGTCACCACCATCTTTAAAAAGAGCCGGAGGTAAGTCATCTGGGCCAGGTGATTTGTAACGCTTCAAGAGTTGAAGCTCCTCGCGGACTTCCGCCTCAGTTGGTGGATCAGTCGTCACCGGCCATGGAGGGCAGGACAGTCTGACCGGTGTTGCCGGAGCAGCAGGCCAGTTGAACTGCCCTTCGAAGAATTCTGCCCATCGTCCAAGACGTCGATGGATGTTAGTGATTGGCATCCCGTCCTCCTCACAGATTGTTTCGCTCACACCAGACTTCTTGCTGCCAGTGGCTCGGACGAGTTGGAAGAGCTTCCGGTAATTACCAGATGCAGCTGCTGCTTCCAACTTATTAGCACTCTCCGAACACCAGGCTTCTCGGTCCTTACGCAAGCCTTGCTCGATGTCATTACGTAACATCCTTCGTTTGTGGTCAAACTCACGGTCACCCAGAGTAGACCGACGGGCTTCAATGAGTTGTAGGGAACCTGCAGAAACCCAGTGCTTATAAGCGAGACGTTTCGCAAACCCACAACTGACTGTACCCGCCATTTTCATGGCGTCATGCAATAGCATCCAATACTCATCTATACTTTTCGGTGGAATGATAGCTAGCCTAGAAGCTAGCTCGGTTCGATACTTACCTGCAACAGAAGTTGCGACCAACTTGCTGACATCAATCCTTTGGTGGCGGTCACTTCGTTGGCCACTGAAGAGTAAGGTAAGATTGGCGGCGGTCCTGTACACAACCACGCCAGCGGTAGCTGATCGCGATGTGATTAATCTGAGTCTAGGCTTGAGATGCAGAGGAAGGACGCCAGGTGGCACATCGGCGATGACTGTGCCGGAAGTTAGTGCTAGCCAGAAACAGGTTGTGGTATGTGCACAGTTGCAGTAGACGGTCCCCGTTATCTTTCCTGAGACCAACAAGTCCCCATCGGCCACCTAAACGACTCTCTTCTGTGCCTAGACGCCCGACCTGAGCATTCAAGTCTCCGGCTAGTACTACAATATCTGTCGAACGCACTTTCTGGAGAAGAACAGTTAACTGGTGGTAGAATTCATCCTTGATTGCATCCGGGCTGCAATCTGTAGGGGCATAGGCGGAGATGACGAAAAGACATCGTTTCTCACGCCGATTTCTTCTCACTTTGATGGAACTTTCTAATCTAACAGCACATAACCGACTGTTAATGGGGATCCAATCGATTAGTGCTGCCTCAGCTCTAGGTTTAGTGCGACACCAACGCCAGCAAGACCAGACGGAGATGCCACAGGGTCCCAGGATAAACGCACGTACAACAAGCTTTTTGAAGCGACAGATGGAGTGTGAATTTTTAGTTCTTCACCAGAGTCTTGAATACGGGTCTCGAATAGACAACGAACGTTGATATTAAGACTTCCCAAAGAGATAGCCAGCTCTATCTGTTTCCGACCTGCATAAGTGTGTGAACGTTGAAGGCAGCCCGTTTGAATGGTGCACGTGGTTTCAGAAAAACTGCTTCAGTATGTGTATTTGGTGGTAGCATACAGTTTTCTACCAGGCAGTGACTCGAGAACGTTTAAATAGAACATCAGAAAAATTCACCACACTTGTTATTTTGTATTAATATGTGAAATCTTTAACAGTTCGTAGCATGTCTAGAGCTGGAAAATTCTCGGGACTTGATAAACTTGTAGAATACTTAACAGTACTACAAAATCCGCCTCGGTGACCAAAGTACATATGAGTGAACATGAAATAACCAGGATACTTTGACCAAATAACTCATTTCTTATTACAGTATGTTTTATCTATCTATTTAAACACATAAACATTGGTATGAGGAGGCACCAAATAGATATGCACCACATAAATCATTCGATTCGTGTGAGGGCTGGAATACTGCCCGGGTGCCCAAACCGAAGGTGGTTATCTTAGGGGGCTACTCCCTGAGTCTTTTACTTAAAGGTTTAATCCACAAGGCAGTGGAGCAATGTAAGGAGATGCAGTCCCATGGTAGCCTGTGACCAACAATTGGTTCATACACCATTTGTTCCCTCAGGATCCTGGAGCCCATGTGCACCAGTAGTTTGAAGTCGGGTCTTGTAACTCCCCTAGGCGGGCCTTCCGTACTTACAAACCCGGTTAGAGCGCCAGACATTCGCTTTTCGTCCTCTCAATTTCATAAACAATGCCCACGCCGCGAGAAGACAGTGAGTAGGGCTTTTTCTGGCAGTGGTATGCACGTGGCCATGTAACAGCATTTCGAGGAGAGCTGACTTTCCCCACTTTCTACCGTACCACGGCATTTGGAGGTATGTTTTAAGTCACTTACTTATCGCAATGAAGGGTTTCAAGTAGAAATATCTTTGTGAAGTGAAAAGATTGGGTACAACAGCAACCGTTAACCTGGTAACTTTAAGGTACTACCTCACTCGGTTAGGAGAGTTCCATATATACTCATATTAACAGCATATCTCCCCTGGATAACATTTAACGTCTACTTTAGTCAAGAGCTTCTTGTATTTTCTGCTACTAGTACTAATTTCTTCTTAGTGTTTCTTTTATCTCGTAAACCTTGTAAAAGTGATCTATAGAATAACACACCATATTCTACGAAGAACCATTTATGGTTACGTATTGAATTTTATAAATTTTGAACGTAGCGACATGTCGGAAGGTAGATATTAATAATTAACACCTCAGGATTCACGGTAATGGATATGTTCGGTCATTAAGCAGATGCACCTACATTCGATTTCGTTGACTAGTTTATTACAAGTCATTTTATTCTTCAGGTGGTATTGTAAGTTTTCTTTGATATCCACTCTTAGTGGTATAGCAAATCAATGAAGTTGTGTCAAATAATATATCCATGCTTACTGAACCCACATAGAAACCGAACAGAATTAAATAATTATATATCAAAACATGTGACATACTTTTAAGGTTTTCGCTCTTTCATCTTCTAAAAATTCCCAATCATCAACGTGACAAATACCATCAACTCTAGGGTCAAATCTAGGGTCACTTTTGCGATTTTGTTTACGTTTCAACGATTGAATACCGTCTTGATAAGCACTTTTAAGGTTTTCTGTTAGATATATTTTCTTTTTCTTAAATTCCTTAAATGACGTTTCTAATGGAGCATCATCATTATTATCATCCATACTATAAGAAAAAACGAGAACATTTGAAAACAAATCCACGGTTTAGTTTCACTGATAACATGAAAATATGTTAGAGACAACAAAGTCAAGACAGAACCAACTATAGGATAAGACAGTGCAAAAAAACATTTTTCTCCCCTATATAACTTGGTACAAGTAGTCACAGAACTAATTACATTAACATCAAAAGTAATGTCCCTATGGCTTTGTACCGAATGCTCCAATGACTGGTAAATTCGGCGAGACTCTAATTTAGGGACGAGCCAATCAGAAGCGTTTGAGCAATTTCAAGGTCACGGAGCAAAGTTCAACACGCGCTGCTAACATACGATCGGTTCACAGCGGATTTTAGAGAGTAGGTGATTAATGAGAGGTTACAACAGATAGGACGGCGAGACTCTAATTTAGGGACGAGCCAATCAGAAGCGTTTGAGCAATTTCAATTATTAGCCAATCAGAAGACAGCATAAAGTAAAAATATATTAAAAGAAAGTAATAAATTACAGTGGATATTCTTCTTTGACATGATTTAAAAACTCGTATGTTAGCATCCTAACCCTAAACTTAACCCTCACCTAACCCTAACCCTCACCTAACTCATACCCTAAACCCTAACCTTAACCCTCACCTAACCCTAACCTTAAACCCTAACCTAACCCTAACCCTAAACCCTCACCTTACCCTAAACCCTCACCTAACCCTAACCCTACACCTTAACCCTCAACTAACCCTAACCTTAAACCATCACCTAACCATAACCCTAAACCCTCACCTAACCCTAACCCTAAACCTTAACCCTCAACTAACCCTAACCCTAACCTTACACGTAAACCTAACTCTAACCCAATAGACGAGTTTCTATTCCATATGCATTGTGAATTCAGAACCTCTGAACCTTAACCAAACCTTAACAAGTTTTTAAATCATGTAAAAGAAGAATATCCACTATAATTCATTACTTTCATATAATATATTTTCACTTTATACTTTCTTCTGATTGGCTAATAATTGTCAAGGTCACTTAAGATTCGTTCAAAGGTCGTCCTTAAATTAGAGTTTCGCCGTAAATTCTTAGGCTAATGGTCTCACAAATACAGTAGAAAGATTCCAATGTATCTGGGGACAATACTAGCTGTGTTAGACGACTGAGAGAAAATGTAGAGTTATGACACTTGCCGAATAAAGGCTACAAAGCACAAAATGTAGAATCAGATTTTCTGTAAACTAAAAATTTCCAGTGTGAATGACCGAGCGTAGGACTGGTATTAGGACCTGTGATCAACCAGTAAAGTTGTATATTTTTTCTACTTTCTAGGGCAATTTATTTCCTTGATACATTTTTCCCCATTTATTGATGTACATAAGTGTATCATTTTGTGATTAAATGTAGGTTTAAAGAAATCCAATCTGCATCGAGTTTCAAACAAAGTCCTTGATTCTCCAAATGTCACTTTATATTAATAATGATATTAACGGCAATGATGATAATACAAGTTATTCAAAAATGTACATATATGTGAAATTCGATTTCAGCAAAACCAAAACAAAATAGATGGAGGATTAAAGCTGTAGCTTAGTGGCTGAAGATCTAATACATTAACCTCCAAGCCATCGGTGTTAAGGTCAGAAATATAAACTTGAATTCACATGTTTCAGTGATTGAAAAACTTAACTAACCTAGATAGAGAGCATTCTGAGTACTTGATACATAAACTTATAAGATATCCGGCTTTCCAAATTAAACGTGTTTACAACAGCATTAGCATAACAGTATGATTAATAATATCAAGTTTTGTCATAAAATTTTACCAGTAGATGAAGGTAAATGTGGTGGGTAGTAACCAGGTTGGTTTCGTAACCAGGAATTTCGCCAACACGATCCTTTAACATGAAGACAACCCAGTTCCCCCATTATTAAGGCCCAAACAACTAGTGCTATTGTAATTGTATGTAAGTCGTTACAGCGATTTACTCTTATTGAATACATTTTACAAATGCTTCTTAAGAAACTACTGGTAGTTGAAGGATCTATGGAAATGACCTGTAAGTACTGAGTTAGATAACAATTTTACTCAAGATAAGCGTTAGTCTAAATATTTGTTTAATACAAAAGTACATTGCAGGTGAGCTTTTGTTATTATGCAGAGGGAACATGATAAACGTCTACATACAGTGGAGACATTTCATACAAGCAAATCGATTGTCGCCACCCTATATTGGGTGTAGTACTTATAAGCAGGTTCAGCTTGTTAGTTGGTGTTAACAAAAGAAAGCTTATCAACACCTATGTGCAACTACAGGTTTATAGGGTTTTTCGGGTTACCAAATGCATGGGACTGCAATAAGAACCCTTGTAAATGAAGCTTTTGTTGATATTGTCCGCCAGTTCATGAACTATTGCAGATTTATCACGATAGCAACGTAAAGCACTAAGCACTGAGTTACAGCTAAAAAAGAAAACACTGGTCGTCCACTGTTATATAAAATTAAAAGTACGAAATTAAAATTCAAGTATATATGCCTGCACCATATATGGTGCAATAGGGGGTCACTGGTCTCTTTACTGGCATTTGCAGTACTCCTACAAGTCCTACTTTAATAGGACCCACACCTAAGAAAGGTTTTAGCTTTTTTCGTATCTCCAGAAAATTTATAATGCAGCTTTCCCAAAGCTCAGAATTCTCGCCAAGATCGGATTAGGAGAAACAAACGGGAGATGTACTTGGAGCATGTGTTAAACCTTATTTGTTATATGAAGAACTTACGTCTACATAAAAAACAATTTTGCTTGCAAGAAATGCTTAGTATAGGACGGCAACGCTCCTAGGGTATCGTCCACTGATGGGGGTTGCGAGCACTTGAAGGTCAAACCGTTGCAAAATGATTGGTGCGTCACATCGACAATTCGTGAAAATTTTCAGAAGCGGTCAAATCAAGACATTTTTAGATTTGAATTGAGTTCAGCCACACCATGTCTAGTAACGTTCATTCTTCAAGTAACGAAGACGATGCCATCGTGATGATGCATGATATAGGACGAATCTTCAATGATATTATGTTATCTCGAAGATTTACAAGTTGGGACAATTTTGAGACCTGTTTGAAAGAAGTACATAAGGTAATATGACTTCTGAGGTTAATAATTATTTTTTTAGTATACGCATACTAAGTAGGTTATGTCAGTATGCAAACAGAACAGTGATGATCCAACTCTAAAGTACTTTTTCGTGAGATATGTCTGTACATATGGACGTAAACGCAGTTCGTCCGAGTCAGATGCTTGCGTTCAGGATGTAGATGATGATAGTAATAATCATTCTTCTGAAGAGCATACAACTTCTAATTCGCCAACACAACCTAGGCAAAGGAGACGACGTCGGTCATCTACGTATGCCTTACTTCAAATGAATTTATCCTTCAGGTCGAAATATTGCCATTGTCAATCAGGATTTTGGGTCCGGGCAGTAAATGGTGAGTTGAAACTCACCTCTATTAAAACCGTGCACAACCATCCTTGCACAGAAGGATATATTTCTGTCGATCCATCGAAACAACAGTTGACCTCAAGTGAACGCTTGTATTTAAGAACGTTCCTACTGAGTAATACACCAACTCGTAGCCTACGGTATCTGGTTTCTTGGAAGTTCAATAAACAGCTTATCAAGGACGATATCGCCAGAATGCGTTCACAGTTGTACCCAGGTTGTTGAACTCAAATTGTAATTATTTGAGTTTAGACACTTAAAATATCAATGACATTTTACAGCGCGTTCAAGCAAATGCTGAAGTTAAAGTATTCAATGAAAATGGGAACATGTCTATGATTTGCTTCAACCGCAGAGAGCAAATAGCTGTTTACCACGCGTTCCCGGAGGTAATATGTATTGATTCGACTTATCAGACCAATAAAGTCGGGTAAGTAACGAATAGTGATAAATTTATCTTAAAGTTTTCCACTGTTCCAGCTAGTGGTGACTGATAGTCTTGGGCAAGGGCACACTGTTATGTATGCTCTTTGCAGTCAAGAACGACGCGAAGATGTCGAAAAACTATTGGAATGTTTTAAAGAGATAATGTGCGGTACTTATGCTACACGCACTTTCATTATGGATTCGGCAGCGACCGAAATTTCGGCTGTGCAGTCTACGCACAGTCATTCTAACATAATACTTTGTTCATTCCATGTCCTGAGAGCGTTTTTCAGGAAGGTATGTGTTAGCTGTACAAATTATTTTCTGTAGTTCCGAAATCCTGATGTGCGCAAATGCTTGGAACACCTTGTGAAGACTAGACGGTCTGATATGTGAGCTTCGCTTTTCATAACGCATTATATTCAGATTTACTCGAAAGTACGAACATCTAAGGACGCATTTCCCACGGGCGTATGATTACATAAAAGATTACTGGATTGCCAGGAAGTCAATGTGGGCTCGCTGTTACCGGCGACATGTATTAAGCCTGGGCAACCACACAAACAACCGTGTCGAAAGTGCTCATAAACACCTAAAAGAATGTCTCAGAAGAGGTGATTCCCTGCTATTGAATTTTTGGAAAATTTGGAGTAAAACAGAAAGTGACCTACGTTTGCGTCTTTATGATGCTGTGAAGGATCTTCAGCGTTTTCCAATTCTTCAGGTAAGAAATATAGTTAAATGTATCATTAATTCCAGGTTCCACTGACATAACCCCAAAGGTCTCCTATGTTCGCCTTTATTTTCAACAACAGACCAAAATAAATCTTCAATGCGGTGGAAAACCGGTATATTTTTGAAAATTTTTATTTGAAAGGTAAAGCGTATTATTGTACAACACTAGAGCAGAAGCTTAAGCACCGATTGTTTTGCATATCCAATACATTTGCTAATCCATTGTTATTTGAAATTATCTGCAAAAGAAGGAACAGGTGATGTATTATTTATAAGGAATGTGCATTTAATCTAAAGTTCACTGACACTCAAACACACATTCTCAACACTTCTACAGTTTCCCATGTAAGTAAAAAAGTAAGATGTTTGAAAAATAATGTTTATTGAAATGTAGGTAGAACATCAAAACAACTGCACGGCTATTGAGAATTGGGGTAGTCGTCCCGTGAATTCTGAATTAAAAAAAGAAAGAAAAGTCACAACCATATCTCAATGACATGCTTTGGTACAGCCAAATACTTGTGTAGATCTGCACAGGAGGTAGTAATGCTATCCTAGCTTGGTCTCTGGTAAAATCTCCACATAATTATACCTCTTCCGCATGATTATGATTTATTTCCCGCAATATAATCATCTAGTGGCTAATATATCCTACTGTAGAAGGTGATATTATCATGTGTTATTATCATCTATAGCATATACATAATATTTACAACACTCGATAAACCTAATGTTTTCACTATCAACCGATTTCTGCCATGAAAGTCGAAAAAACAGTGAAAATCAGCTGAAATTGTGATAAAGATGGGAAAAACGATAAATCTTACCATGGTATCGTTAGTTGTAACGCAGTTTCGGTAGCCTTGACGACTATACAATTTTTATGACGATATATGCCTGAATCATGCTATTTCATATAAGAATAAATAATTTGTTTACCATCAGTGTATACTTAAGTGGAAATAATTGCTGGTCTGCGATGCAAACACGAAAAAACTATTATAGCAGCACCTGAATAATGAATTTTCAAGGACTTCGCGATACCATGTAACGCAAAATGAAAAAACCCCTTTTCACCTAATTATGAAAACGGAAAATAGACTTTCAAATTTATTCATAAATAATTTCGGACTTTGGTTGTTCACAAAGCAGAAATGAAAAAGTAGCGCAAAAATGTGTCGCAATACCCCTGTAGCGCTGCCGTATAGGACGAAAAAGAAAACTTGAAAATGTCGAGTGGTGGCGCGGAATTTAGATGTATCACATTATGATTTAATTTGTCTGGTAAGGACAGAAGGCCCACTGATCGTATCAGTCCTTTTCTAGTAGGCTTCTGAGAGTGTCTAGTTTTTTGTTGAATCAGTCAAATAAAGAGGCGGACACCACTTCCTACGGTAACAGGTTTCAAGAATCTATGACCCAGTGTGAAAAACTGTATGCCTTGGGTATTTCGTTCGTTTTTCGGCTTTCCTATTTGTCTGCTATGTCTTCTGAGTTGCCCTGAACTGGTAGGAAGAAAAAGAGGGTATATATCAGATTTAAGATTATGTATTACTATTCTATTCATCAAAATCGGACCACCCCTTAATCAGCGGTAGGACAGATTAAAGAGGTCGAGCTGCTCTTTGTAAAGCTGACCTTGGAGTTCTGGAATTGCACGGGTAGTTTTTCCAGGTGTACTTTTTACAGGATATCCAAGTCACCTTATAAACGGGGGCAGTTTTCAATTCAGGACCTTACTAAGGCTGTGTATACTGTAGTGAACATATTACAATCCAACTTGGTAAATGTTTGTCTTATAGCCTATAGGGTTCTGAACCACTTGGCAGCGACCGTTAGGCAGTGAGCCGTAGTCATAAGATCATGGTTTGCTGTTACCCCAAGATCACTGTGAGATCGATCTACGGATAAAGACTCTCGCACTATGCTGCAACTATTTACCTTTGTACACACAATGTGCATGTAGACAAGCTTTTCCGCTTTGAAAGGCATCACTAATCTTTCAGACCATCCAACAGGAACATCTAAGTTCATCTGAAGTGCATATGCGTCTGCATCCCCTGTTAATTCTCGCCAAATTCCTAAATCACCATCATAAAGCAGCACTGGAGACTTAACTACGCTTGAGAGATCATTTACATGCAGCATAAAAAGTAGATCACCTAGGACAGAGTCTTGACGTACTCTACTAAGTACCGGTTCCCAGGGGGAGAATTTTGAATTTATTCTTACTTCCTGCCTACAATCTGCTACGAAACCCTTGTTTGACTTTGGGATAGGTCCAGCAATTCCTAGATTCTCTAGCTTTAGGGGGAGTCTATTATTCTGAATCTGATCATACACTTCGCGGAAGTCTACGTAGGCGGAATCCAGTGATTTTCCATTACCTGGAACCTCCGTCCATTTCTCATGTTATAAGGCTTATTGAGCAAACTAATCCCTTCCTAAACCCATGTTGTTCACTGTTTGACAAATTCTTAGTTTCCATGAATGTAATTATAGCCTCTTTTATTATTTCTACCAGTACTTTACTACGAATCTAGTGAAGCTGACAGGTCTGTGGCTTGATGGGAGTTGTCTTAGTCCTGTCTTATGAATTGGAGTGGTAATAAAATCTTTCCAGTCCATAAGTAAAATTTTTAAGGTGTAGTTCATCCAGTCCCATTGATTTTTCCGTGTTTAAATACCAAAGGTGTTTGGTACGTCGTCTTGATCCAAATTCACAGTGAACAGCTAATTTTGTGACTTTGTATTTGGGTCTAGTCAATCGTCTAGAATGGGCTCCTGAATGAAAAATGTCCCCAAATTGTTCATCATTCCTCCTGTTTTTTCTTGGTCTTCCTCCGTCATTCATGATGCACTCCTGTAATGAGGTTTGGAATCCAATGGTAAGTTCTTGTTCTGTAAATTATGTACAAGAACAGTCTCTTCGGCAGATCGATTACAGATTGAGCCAACTGCTTTCCGTATTTTTGCTGAGCTGCCCAGACTGTGCTTAAACACTTATTTCCGACCGACCTGTAGCGTCCCATCGTATCTGACGTCTCAAGGCTGATGGCAACGTTCCAATATTTTTGTCTTACCCAACGTCAAATATCTCGGTTTATCAAGTACCTTGATTGTATAACTGCCGAAAATTAGTCCATGCTCCTCTTACTGATGTGTTGGAGTCAGTTTATCATTTTTTGATCGGGGCTGGGGAGTTGGTCTCCTTCACATCTGCGTTTCATAAGTTAGAACCGCCTGCTCAACTGCTTGATGGAGAGTAGAGCCCATGAACTTGAATAAGATAATCGCATGATCATTCCTCCTCATAGGTGGAAGGAACATTATTTGACTAGTCATCAAGTTGTGTAAAGACTGAGTCCAAGACTAACGATGAGTATTTAAGGTCATATGTTGTTAGATCTCCAATGTGCCGAAATAAAACTAGAGCGATTACAGTTCCTAACAATTTGTGATCAGACAG